TCATTACCCTGATACCAGAGCCAGATAAGGACACTCCAAGAAAAGAAGGCCAATATCCCAGATGAATGTAGATACAAAAATTCTCAACAAAATGCTAGCAAACCAAATTCAACAGCACATTAACAGCACATGATCGAGTGGGATTTATTTCAGGAATGCAAGAATGGTTCAGCATCTGCAAATCAATCAATGTAATGTGCCACATTAACAAAATAAAAGATAAAAATCATATCAAAACCTATAATGGAAAAGAATCTGTATAACATATATATATACGTATATATGTATATATATATACATATATATATAAACTGACTCACTTTGCTATATGCCTGAAAGTAACACAACATTGTGAATCAACTGTAGTTCAATTAAAAAATCATAAGATCGGGGCTTCCCTGGTGGCGCAGTGGTTGAGAGTCTGCCTGCCAATGCAGGGGACATGGGTTCGTGTCCCGGTTTGGGAAGATCCCACATGCCGTGGAGCGGCTGGGTCCATGAGCCATGGCCGCTGAGCCTGCGTGTCCGGGGCACAGTGAGAGGCCCGCATACCACAAAAAAAAAAAATCATAAGATCATCTCAATAGATGCAGAAAGAGCAATTGACAAAATTTCAACATCCTTTATGATAAAAACTCTCAAGAAAGTGGGCACAGAAGAAGCACACCTCAATATAATGAAGCCATATATGAGAAGCCCACAGCTAACATCATACTCAACAATGAAAGGTTGAAAGCTTTTTCTCTAAGATCAAGAACAAGACAAGGGTGCCCACTCTCACCATTCCTATTCAACATAGTACTGGAGGGACTTCCCTGGTGGCACAATGGTTAAGAATCCACCTGCCAATAGGTTTGATCCCTGGTCCGGGAAGGTCCCATGTGCTGTGGAGCAACTAAGCCCATGTGCCACAACTACTGAGCCTGCACTCTAGAGCCCGCGAACCACAGCTACTCAGCCTGCGTGCCACAACTACTGAAGCCCACACGCCCTAGAGCCCATGCGCTGCAACTACTGAGCCCATGCGCCGCAACTACTGAAGCCTGTGCGCCCTAGGGCCCATGTGCTGCAACTACTGAGCCCACATGCTGCAACTACTAAAGTCCATGAACCTAGAGCCCATGCTTCGCAACAAGAGAAGCCACCACAATGAGAAGCCCACGCACCACAATGAAGAGTAGCCCCCGCTCGTCGCAACTGGAGAAAGCCCGCACACAGCAACAAAGACCCAACGCAGCCAGAAAAACCAACACCAACAACAAAAAACAAAAAACAAAAACCCATAGTACTGGAAGCCCTAGCCAGAACAATAGAGCAGTTAGGCAAGAAGAAAGAAAAGGCATCCAAATGGGAAAGAAAGAAAGAAAGAAACTGTCAACTACTTGCAGATGACATGATCTTATACATAGAAAATTTTTGAAGATTCCACCAAAAAACTGTTAGAATAAAAAAATTCAGTAAAGTTTCAGGATACAAAATCAGCATATATAAATCAGTTACAAAAATCGGAATACCCTCTGAACTATCTGAAAAAAAAATAAAGCAAACAATCCTATTTACAATAGCATCAAAAACAATAAAATACTTAGAAATAACTTTTCACTAAGTAAGTGAAAGATCTATATACTGAAAACTATAAGATATTGATGAAATTAAGACAAAAATAAATGGAAAGATATCCCATGCTTAAGAATTAGAAGAGTTAATATTGTTAAAATATCCACCCTACCCAAAGCCATCTATAGATTCAATGCAATCCCTATAAAAATTCCAGTGGTGTTCTCCACAGAAATAGAAAAACCAATCCTAAAATTTGTATGGAACCACAATGGACTCTGAATAGCCAAAGCAATCTTGAGAAAGAAAAAAGCCTGAAAAGCATCGCACTTCCTGATTTTGAACTATATTATAAATCTATAGTAATTCAAAACAGTGAATGTTGTACTGGCATAAAAACAGACACATAGGGCTTCCCTGGTGGCGCAGTGGTTGAGAGTCCGCCTGCTGATGCAGGGGACACAGGTTCGTGCCCCGGTCCAGGAAGATCCCATATGCTGTGGAGCGGCTAGGCCCGTGAGCCATGGCGGCTGAACCTGCACGTCTGGAGCCTGTGCTCGGCAACGGGAGAGGCTACAACAGTGAGAGGCCCGCGTACCACACACAAAAAAACAAAAACAAAACAAAACAAAAAAAGAGACACATAGACCAATGGGACAGAATCAAAATCCCAGTAATAAACCCACACATATACAGTCAAGTAATATTTTAACAAGGGAGCCAGTAATTTTCACTGGGGAAAGGATAGTCTCTTCAATAAATGTTGGGAAAACTGGATATGCAGAAGAACGAAACTGTACTCCTGTTTTATGCCACGCGCAAATATTAACTCCAAATGTATTAAGGACTTAAATGTTAGACCTGAAACCGTAAATCTCCTATAAGGAAACATAAGGGGAAAACTGCTTGATGTTGGTGTTGGCAGTGATCTTTTGGATATGACATCAAGAGCACAAGCAACAAAAGCAAAAATCAGCAAGTGGGACTATATCAATCAGAAAAGTTTCTGTACAGCAAAATATACAATCAACAAAATGAAAATTCAGCCTGCAGAATAGGAGAAAATGTTTACAAACCTTATATATGATAAAGGGTTAATATCCAAAATATGTAAGGAACTCTTAAAACTCAGTAGCAAAAAATCAATTATTCTGAGTTTTTAAATGAGAGAAAGATGTGACTTTTTTCCCAAGAAGTCATACATACATGAAAAGGTGTTTGATAATCAGTGATCATCAGGGAAATGCAAATCAAACCCACAATGAGATGCTACCTCACACCTGTTAGATATTACTTCACACCTATTTGTTTATCATTAAACAAAAGCTGGCAAGGATATGGAGAAAAGAGAACTCTTATGCACTTTTGGTGGAAATGTACATTTGTACATTCCAAAATGCCAGTTCTGATGCCATGCTCTGGCTACCCATATGGGGTGCTTTCAGACTAGGTTGAAGAGTTCTCCCCCAATTTTTTTTTTAATTTATTTTTTTGACTGCATTGGATCTTCTTTGCTGCCTGCAGGCTTTCTCTAGTTGCAGCAAGCAGGAGCTACTCTTTGCGGTGCACGGGCTTCTCATTGTGGTGGCTTCTCTTGTTGCAGAACATGGGCTCTAGGCGCATGGGCTTCAGTAGTTGCAGTATGCTGGCTCAGTAGTTGTGGCTCTCGGGCTCTAGAGCACAGGCTCAGTAGTTGTGGCACACAGGCTTAGTTGCTCTGCAGAATGTGGGATCTTCCCGGACCAGGGATCGAACCCGTGTCCCCTGCATTGCCATGCAGATTCGTAACCACTGCGCCAGCAGGGAGGTCCCAAGTTCTCCCCAAATTTGTTGCCTCTGAAGTCTAGGATGATGTCTGTTATTGTCAACCAGGATGATTTACACTGAAATTAGCTGTAAACTCCCATATATAGTTATAATTGAACATTAATGTTTTTATGATTGGTAGTCATTTTTAAGAGTTAGTAAATTCACTTGAGAAGAATGCCTTAGTGTAGACCCTAAAAATAAAACAATGGAAAGAGTTGTAGGCCAGTAACCTTCCCAGTGGGCTATAGATCAGTAAACCATAGAAAGCTTGCTTTTTTTTTTTGAAAGCCTGATTTTTTTAAAGCCTTTTTTTTGTGAACTATTTTATTTATGAAGTTTTCTGTTGTACATAAGCCTTCTATGTGATGATTTCCCCAGCTGGTGGAGACCTGTTTTAATTACATTTAATATGTATCATGGGAACATATATTCCCATGGATGAACATTAATAGTCAATAATAATTAGCTAATATAGCTAATAATGCACATGAATATTTAATAATTAACTAATATAGCTAGTGAGATGCATTTAAATTAATATTTAATTGTACTTCAGTTTTATTTAGGGTTAAATGTGTATACTTGTTAAAAGAATGAAACCATTCTACTCAGCAACCAGTCGTCTTAGCCATGTGATGTGGAACAGTTCACCAAATGAGAGCTGTGTCACAACCTGTAGGGGCCAAAAGGAGGCAGGATAGAAACTCTCGTTTTCAAGTCTCCTAAGACCAGGGACTTGAAGAATGGTGAACACACCTTTCTTCCTGGCCTGGGTTTACTTCTAAATGTGACTGACTTTTCTTTAATAACTAATTATAAAAATAGAACAGCAATAATAAGAATACTAATTATAGATAACAATGATCAACCACTTAACAGCGTGTACTATGCTGGGTTAATCTGCACAAAACCCTATGAGGTTCAGCATGAAATGTTATCCTCACTTTACAGATGAGGAAAGTGTGAGTCAAGATTTAAAATTTTGCACTTAGGTCCCTAACTACTATATCTTGCTGCTTCCCATTATGTTATTTGAACCTTGCATTAACCTTGTGAGGAAGACAACAAAAACTTTTATTTCATTTTTATAGTTGAGGGAAAATGTCCCTTGGAGAGAGTAAACAATTTGTCTGGAGTTTCACAACCCATTTGCATGCAGCTGGGATTGGAATCTGCTTCTTCTAACTTTAGCCAGCAGCAAAGGAACAGCATGGAGAGATGTTTGGGAAGGAGCCACTTGTGGTTAAAGGCTATACCTTCTCCAGTGTGGAGAGCCTGAGGAAGCTGTGTCACGCAGTGCAGGATGTGATACATTGTGTGGAGAGGACAGTGACAAAATAAAAATCCAGTAGCAAGCACCCACCTGTGACTTGGCTGGTACTCTAAGCTAGAAAGGCCTGGGTTTGAATCCAGACTTTGCCACCTTCTTGCTGTGTGGGACCTTCAGCATTTCACTTCCTTACACTAAACCTTAGCTGGCTCTGTCAAATACAAATAACATTTGTCTAACAAGGTTATTAGAATTAAATGAGATCATATATGTAAAATATATATCAGAATGCCTAGCATATAGAAGGTTCCTGATAAAAGTTAGTTTCCTTCCCAATTGATTGAGTTTTTCTTTCTTTCCATAGCATTTATCTAGCCGGCAGAGTGTACAGCAAAGCACATCTCAGGTAAGCAACTTAACCAGGCCTCCCTCTCTTTTCCCTCAGTTCTTTCTTTTACACGATTATAAAATAGGGATGCACCAAGAAATTACTGACTTCTTTTTTTTCTTTTTGATAGTCTTTTATTTTTATTTATTTATTTATTTTTACCACTGACTTCTTGATTGTGACTTAAGGAGCCCTGACCTCCAAGCGGACTTGGCTACTCTCCACTCCTCTGTGCAAATTTACACAAGCACGGTTGAAACAAAGTAGACTGAGAGACTAAAATGAATCAGTCTGAGAAAATAAAAATGGTATTTAGAATGGTAACTATTACTATCTAACAGTATAAACCAAATGCATCAGGGTCATGACAGCATCTCTAATAAGTGACTTTGAAAATGCTTCTCTGGAGAATTTCGATGTTTGTGACCTGGTGGAGATTTTGAGTTCACTTATAACTTGGAATTACTGTTCCCATATCTCCTTCACTCTGTTTACTTTTCCCAGATGCGTATTTGCCTACCTCAAATCAAGCATATTGACGCAACATCTGCTACTAGCAAAGAAAACACTTTCAATCTCCCTTTCTCTCCCTTCAGCAGTATGAGAAGAGTTAGTCATTAAGTTTTAATTTTACTTATGATCAATATAATGAATAACTAAAATATTAGCAATCACTGTTTTTTGCCTTCCTCATTAGGTAGATACAATGCGCCCACGACATGGGGAAACCTGTCGGATACCAGTGCCACATCACTTCTTCCTCAGTCTAAAGAGTTTCACCTACAATACCATTGGGGAAGATACCGATGTCTTCTTTTCCTTATATGATATGAGAGAAGGCAAGCAGATCAGGTAAAAGTTATTAGAAGCTCTGGTGAGGTTGAGACTCTGTATTAGAATGGTATGTCCTAGATCATAGGCATCTCTGGACTTCAGAGAAGATAGATGCACAGAGGATGCAAAACAAGATAAAGTAACCTCCTCTTATTTAGCTGAGAGTTTTGCTTCAAATCCCAGTGTACCCTGAAGTCACATATTGCCTCTTTTGTCTCTGTGCCTATTTCCACATGGAAGCTCAAAACTCAGTCTTGGCCATCACCACCTCAGGGAAAGCAAAGGATGCATCTATTCAATGCCAGAGGAAACACATAGGAGAAACATAGAACAAAGCAAATTCAGCAAAGCGACCCAGCTCTTGAATGCAGGAAGCCCTGGGTTCTGCTTTCCTGCATGTGGGATGGAGAGGGCTCACAAGGAAATAGGCTAATGTTGTCCTGTTTGAGGGCAGCCCCAGCCCTCATTGTCCGCCTAGCCCCGTAAAAGGAAGAGCATATTCTGGACAAAAGGGAAAGTTGGCCTGACTCTATCATTCCTCTTTGACTTGGATTGGAGGAGAAGCCACAGAAAAGGCCTGACATGCAGTAGACTGTGTGTCTTAACAGAGCAATGAGACCCTTAAGCATGAGCAACTGCAGTAGTGTTTTTCCCCTTGAAAGGTAGGGAGAAATCAAGAAGACATTCTAGGCTTCTCTTCCTCTAGATGTCAGCAAGGCTCTAAAAGGGTGAGAAGACCTTTGTAGCCAACTTGGAATTTTAGGGAGCCCTGACTTTTCTCTGTGATTATCTTCTAGGTGGGGCAGAGAGAAAATAAATCTTGGGATACTTTTATGTTGCATGGGAACTTTCTGTGTTAAGACTGCTTTATGGGTTGTTGTTGTTTTACTTAAGATTTGAAAATAACTTTTACTTTTCCAATTGCGTGCTACATGTGGGAAGATTTTAAATGGAAGTTATAACAGAGTACAAAAAGAAAGCAGTTAATTTATATGTTCCACAGTGCCTCTAGTCTTGACTATCGCACCCTGCCCCCTCCCCCAATTAAAGCACTGTGCTTCACTTTGGCATAGGAGTAAAATGATATACTCACTGATGAGGGCATGTGGGTTTTCCTTGTCACCAGTGGCTCACAGTATGTGCTTCTAGGAAAGTTGTGGTGGTGAAGGCAACTACAGCTGCTGCACATAGGCAAGACTATAGGCCAGGGCTGCATGGATGTAGATTCTGACTGCTCTTGTTTTTCTACTAGACCAGAGGTTTGTAAACTTTCTTATTTACATTTGTGTGTGGAAGAGTCCTTTTTCTTCAAGCTAAATTTTATAAGAAAGTTCAATAAATGAAACAGATAAAATAGAACTACTCTGCTGATGAAAGGGGAAATAACAGGAATGTCACAATGTCCCTGCCCCTACCTGGTAAGTACCCTGTGGAACCTCTGAAAGTACATGGGTTACAGTTTGAAAACCAGAACACACTGTTTTGTCATCTCTGAGTGCCAGGGACTATGTCTTCTCTCTCCATGATCCTAGCACCACACACAGTGCCTGTGCCCAGTACATTGTTTATCGGACTTAATGCACAGAGAAGATGCAAGCCCAGTACAGGCACCCCATTGCTCTGGTTTGTAATTCATGCAGGATCATCAGTCCATGCAGTTGTTTTATCTTTGGAATTATTGTTTATGATTTAGTCTCAAGAAACAATAAAACATTTTAAAAGAAGAAATGTAAAAAAAAATTTTTATAGAGTTGTTGGAAATGATTAGGTCATTTAAAATCCCTACATATTAGAGAACTATACAACCTTCACATTCACATAATAAAACTGTAAGATTCTTAGTTGAAAATGTACACTTTCTTTAGTTTTTTTTTTTTTTAACATCTTTATTGGGGTATAATTGCTTTACAATGGTGTGTTAGTTTCTGCTTTATAACAGAGTGAATCAGTTATACATATACATATGGGAACATATGTATATGTATAACTGATTCACTTTCTTTAGTTTTAAGAGTGAACTAACAAGTAGAATTTTAGACATAGGTTTAACCAATAAATGTTCTCTCTTCTTTCCATTAGGATTTGTGTAGTGTGTAAGCCCTTAAAAATTTTAGGTCATTGAGCTGGTATTATCAGATTATTATGCTTTCATTATGATTAGTTATCAAATTGGTCACATATTACTTTTTTGAAGCAGTTGTCAGAAGTCACAAAAGATTAGCGGGATGTATTACACCAGGTGCACAGAGAATAGATACAGAGCAATCGGTTTAATTGTTTCTTCTCCTCAAGATAACTCCTTGAGTGACTTTTTTTCCAGTCAAATATTTGTAGTCTGGCCTCCAATCAAATGGTGCTAGTCTAGTGTTCAGTATTGCCAGGACACACTCAACCTCTGTGCCAAAGAACACATGTGAGCGGGGGGGCAAACTAAAGAGAAGACCAGCTATTTCTCTAAGTCTTATTGCTGATTCCACAGGCAAACCTAGAAGGGCTAAAGTGAATGACAAATTGCCAACCCACATCATGCATTCTGATATATGTTGACTGATGAGTATTAGATGATCTGCTGGAGGGCAGAAGCAGCAGCTGGCCGGGCCTTGGTAGCTCTATTTTTTTGTTTCATTTCATCATTCCAAACAGAATCATAAATACTTAGCCTTGAAATCTAAATCTCTAATTAAGACCTCTCCCCTGAGCTTCAGGTGCTCATTTCCTTTTTTCTACCAGACATATGCCCTTAGATGTCCTTCAGACATCCATCAACATTTCTAAACTGCATTCATTTTCTATCCTCACACATATACTTCCTCCTTAAATCAAGTGAAAAGCATTTGCTCAGAGATCCATATCAGAAACTTAGGAGTCCTCTTGCGCTCCTCCCTCTCTATCTCCATCCCTTCTCAGTTAATCACTATATCTTATTAACTTCTATCTCCTAATGCCAATCAAATCACTACCCTGACTTTATCCTCACTGTCACCCCAGATCCTTCACATTTCTCCCCAAATGTAGCCTCCCTGAATCTGTCGTCCTACCCTGAGTTATCTTCCACACCACCACCATACTTCTCTTTAAAAATACAAACTGTTCATGTCAGCTCCCACTTAGGCTAAAAGCCCTTGTTACTTAGCATGGCATAAAAGGCCCAGCATGGTATAATTCTGCCTGTTTCTCTAACCTTATTTCATGCATCCTATTTTACTCCTGATGACTTACTTGGCTTTTTCTAAACATGCCTTGCTCTTTCATGCCTCTCTACCTTTGTTGGCTTGGTAAACTCCTGTTCATTCTTTACAACTCAGCTTTATGAAACCTTCCTCATTCTATTTATGAGTAGAATCAGCCCTGGGGCTTCATTGTGCACATTATGTCACCCTGTACCTAGCTTTATCCCATTACCAGATATTATACTGTAATTATACACATGCATATAGATTTCCCCCACTGGAATGGGAGCTTCCTCGTGTGTTTTTTGTACCATTTTCTCCCCAGTGCTAACCACAGGACTTTGGATATTGGAGCATAAATAAATAGTTATTGAATGAATGAATGAATAAATCCATCTATCAAATAAGTACCAGTCAGTCTCCTGTGAATCAAGAAATTTTCATTTAATTGAACAGTTTAGCAAGCATTTGCTGAGGGTTTCTTGTTTGTGGGCCCCTGCAATACCTGCTAGGGATTTAGAGTTAAAAAAAGAAATGTCCCTGCCCCTGAGGAGGTCTGAACAGGGTATTACAGAATTCCTAAAAGATGTGAAACATGTTATTCCCAATTTTAAGTACCAAACAAGCTGAGTGGAAAAGTAAGATGGGCAGATGTCTTATTGACATGTGACATGTGGCAAGACTTTAAGCACAATAAGAAGTCAGGGAGGTGAATGTAAAATAGTTGGCTGATGGGAAGCAGCAGCATATCCCAGGGAGATTGGCTCGGTGCTTTGCCATGACCTAAAAGGGTGGGATAGAGAGGATGGGAGGGAGGCTCAAGAGGGAGGGGATATGGGGACATGTGTATGCATATGGCTCATTCGCTTTGTTGTGCAACATTAACACGGCATTGTGAAGCAATTATACTCCAATAAAGATGTATTAAAAAAAAAAAAGTCAAGGAGGGACTTCCCTGGTGGTCCAGTGGTTAAGACTCTGCCTTCCAATGCAGAGGGTGCAGGTTCGATCCCTGGTTGGGGAGCTAAGATCCCACATGCCTCACGGCCAAAAAACCAAAACATAAAACAGAAGCAGCATTGTAACAAAGTCAGCAAAGACTTTCAAAATGGTCCACATCAAAAACAAAAAATCTTTTAAAAAAACTTCAGGGAAAAACAAACAAAAAATACAACCTATTAAGATGGAAACTTTTATAGAGATTTTCAAGCTGAAAAAAATGAGAAGTCCTATCCAAATCCTGGTTGTTTTATATATTTTTTCTAATCAGTTACATTTCAGACTTTGCTTCATATTTAGGATTAAATTGTATGGTTTGGGAAAGAAATACAGTCAGCTTTGCAATGATATACTGGGAGAGATAATTTATCCTGTCATGGTGAGCTGGATCAGTTGTCACCAGGGTTTTGAATTCAACATTTGAAGAACTATTTTTTTTAAGAGGAAAAGAAGTCAGGAAAGAAAAGGGTCATTGAGAGACTGAGAAGACCTCAAGGGCTCTTGGAGAAAATGAAAGTAGTTGAAAAACAGTGGCCAGGATCCAGATAAGGTATTAACTCATTTGTTCAACAGATATTTATTAAGCATCTACCAAGTATGCTAGGGACACTGAGGTGCTAGGGACACTGAGGTGAGCAAGATAGAGATCTGCTTGTCTTCCTGGAGCTTATAATCTAGTAGAGAAACTAACTGTTTCTAGTAGAGAGACCATTAAACACATGATCACATGAATAAGCACATAGTTTAAAAATTATCATAAGTGCTATAAAGGAAAATCGTGCAGCGTGCTGTGAAACCTCATGTAGATTGGAGTGCAGGGAAGGGCGCTCTTATGGCATCCAAACTAAG